CAGGATCAGGTATGAGAAGGAACAGGAAAGAAGTACAGTGTCAGGAAATTGAAGAGCAAAATGTAGCAGTGGGGGATGAGGAACTGGGTGTAGCCACTAGAAAGTCCCAGATGCCAGGGAAGCAAGAGGTTTCCAGAACTCAACAGGGATAACTTTAGCCTAAATACTCAACAAAGTGGAGAAAGAACCTATAGAGACTACTCCCAGTAGATAGGCATGGTCCCTAGTTGAGGGATGGGGTCACCAACCCATCTCAAAAATTGTAACCCAGAACTGTCCCAGTCCAAAGGAAAGACAGGGGCAAAAAATGGAGTAGAGAATGAAGTTTCCTTCCCATTCCAGTCTCATTCAGAGACTGCCTACCTGGGGATCCATCCCATACGCAGCCACCAAACCCAGACACTATTGCTGATGCCAAGAAGTGCTTGCTGACAGGAGCCTGGTATGGCTGTCTTCTGAGAGGCTCTGCCAGCACCTAACTAACACAGATGCAGATACTCATAGCCAACCATCATACTGAGCCCGGGGACCCCAATGGAAGAGCTAGGGGAAGGACTGAAAGAGCTGAAGGGGATTGCAATCCCATAGGAAGACTGCATCACTTTTAATTGTTGTTGTGGAGATATACTCACCATATCTATCTATTTGTTACTCACTTTGAAGGACTCTGATTTTACTAGAACAGAATTGATGGGTTATGCCCTCATTTTACATTCAATTATTTGAGGAGCAACCATAGTGTTTTCCAAAGTGGTTACACTATTTCCTATACATATCCAAAATGTTCAAAGGCTTATGTTTCTCCTTCTACATTCCAACACTTGTTAATGCCTGCTTTTTCTTTTTAAATAGCTTACTGGATGTTAGCACTTTATTTAAAATAATCTAGTTTGGCTAAATATAATTTTAATATTAATTTAATTAATTAAACTAATTCAGTTGAATACTAATTTTAGTAATGTACTGACACAATGTTACCTTTTCTCTTCCACTATATGAAAACCCAGTGAGGAGATGCTATCAATGAACCAGGAAGCAAGCTCTTCCCAGACACTCGTATTGTTATGTTCACCTTAGATCTCTCAGACACAGAATCTTGAAAACTACATCTGTGTTTTCTCTAAGACATTCTGTTTGTGAGATTTTCTTATAACATCACAAATGAACCAAAACACTGGCTAAAACCACCAAGTTAGAAAGGCATAGGAAACATAGTATGCAAGTCTTCACAGTGAATGATAACGTTAATATAGTTGGCTGTGGACCACAGAGTGAGACTTATATTTGGTAGTATAGCTCTAGTCAATGTTTTCATAGCAGATAAACCAAAAAAGTGAAAATAGCTTTAAAAATTAATGGCAAAAATGAAAAAGAGAACAGAGAATAAACATATTTGGGTCCAAGTGTGTGACAACAGACAACAAGGATGGCTACCCAACACTGTATGCTGCCTTCCCAGATGTACCCTGGCTCTGTTAGGGTGCCACTTCCCCCAGATCAGCTACTCAGTTCAGAGAAAGCCCTCTGGATGCATTTATTGGGGATTTTGAACAACTTCATAAGGCCTTGCCCCTCAATGTGGCTCAGTCAGACTGGAAGGACGGACCAGTGTTCTGGATCAGTAGGGCAGTACTCTTTCTCCTCCTATAAGCCAGGAAGCTACTCCGTGTCTCACACTGACTTGTGCCCCTGAGTGCCCAACTGACATGTTGTTACCAACAGGAAAGGCTCTTCCCAGAAGACTCTAGTGTTTGTTTGCGTGGTAGCCCAATGGTGCTTTCACTCTTACCAGCTCCATTCCAAATGCTGCTGACAGCTATCTCACAAGAAGGACAGAGCTGACCAAGGAGGAAGGGTAAGGCCAAGAAACCATCTTCCTAATTGCCCTCCCCGCTCCCAGACATCTGTTCTAATACTAGGCTTTCAGCTATGGCAATCAACCGTGCTCCCTGTTGTTGAAACAATCTTCGAGTTTAATTTCTGTCACTTGAACTTGAAAGTATCCTGAAAGCTCCAGCAGGTAACCCATCTTTCGAAGAGTCCAGGAAATATGAGCAATACAGGAGAGTTGGCAGAGCTCAGAGAGTGCTCTGGGGGAAGATGGAATCTGACAAGGAAACATAAAGCACTAAAAGCTGACGATTCACTAAGATGCACCTGTGCTCTTCCTGCACAGGTGTGAGGCCTCGTAAGAAAGGCCTCACATGGCATGGCCAGACTGTTTCCTGACTGACCAAGTGCTTAAAGTCTGAGGAAGGGAAGCTGACTTTAACACTGGAGTGCACGGTTATAAACTATGCAGTTATTTGAAATAAAACCAAACAGTCAAATAAGGCCTGTCTCATAAGTACATTGGAAGCTTATTGCAGCTCTTCCTCCTAGGCAGATCAGATTCATCAATAAAGTCTAGTAGTTCTTAAAGACGTTTTATTCCAGATGGTTTTTTCATATAAACATGTGACTAGCAGCTGGATCTCTGAGTTCAAGGGAAGCCTGGTCTACAAAGGATATCTAGGGTTACACAGAGAAACTCTGTCTCTAAAAAACAACAAAAACCAAAGCAAAACAAAGCAAAAACAAAAAACGTAACTAATTTAAAACATACATGCAACCATGGAGCTTCCCCACGTCCATTATCCAGGTTCTAGAATTAGCAACATTTATCATTCTTGTCCTTTTCCTCATAATAAGATCCATAGTTATCGGAAAACCAGAATGGATCACCTTCTACAAACTGACTGAAGCCTATCTGACCAATGACACACATTTTCTCCATTTGAAATATAAAACAAATTGTTAGTAAATCAATACCCAGTCCCATTTTATTAATGAGACTAAGAACCCACTTAATGCAAACATAAGCTAACCAATCAATAACAAAACTACACGTAACCTTTACATTTAGATTTAATCTACAGATGTAAAATGTTTTCATGTTTTATGGCTTTTAAATTGTTAGAATAACATTGTTTCTGTTATTTATTTGTTATGATCTTTTTTTTTTTTTTTTTGGTTTTTCGAGACAGGGTTTCTCTGTGTAGCCCTGGCTATCTTGGAACTCACTCTGTAGACCAGGCTGGCCTGGAACTCAGAAATCCGCCTGCCTCTGCCTCCCAAGTGCTGGGATTAAAGGTGTGCACCACCACCGCCTGGCTATTTGTTATGATCTTTTAGAAAATATATATAACTGCTTTCTTGTTCTGTGTTCTCAAGGCCAGAAGTTCTCAAAGTCCAGTCCAGGAATACCTGAGGTTCGGGACCCTCCAGGTATTTGAAAAGTCCAAACAATCTTCTAGATAACGCAGAGGAACACAAAGCACTTTGCATGTTCACTTGGGCTCAGGCACATAGAGAAACTGCCAAGGGCTATGTAATATCTAACAACACGACTCTAATGGAAGTGAGAAGTAGACGTCAAACTCCTGCTATCTCTACTAAACCAGGCACTGAAGAGACTTGTAAACACACGTCATAATTTCAATCTTCTCCTTACATTTTTATTCTAATTCTATATGAAAATAATTCTACATCTAAATTAAGATGATTCCATATGAACATATAGTTATTTGTAATGTCACATAATTTCTAAACAATTAATACATAGAACTGAAATGGTATTTCAATTTTACTTTATGATTATTCTATGGAAAAGAATAGCCCCACCTCCCACCCAAAGAAAAATCCCCATAAAGCTCAATAATTTTTTTTATTAAATAATTTATTTTTTCTCAAATCATAATTCATTCATACAGGGGTTATAAACACAGAAAGGCAGGGTGTGGGGAAGGGCATGACACTGGAGTGTGGGTGTTCAGGGGGAATACAGATATCTTTCAGAACCAGGTATCGGCTGGGTGAAGGTTCAGGGGACAAGTCACTATGACTCTACCTATGACTCGCTTGTCCTTATCTAAGTTGGTATTGTCTGCCCAGGCTACCTATTTACAAGGTCTATGACTACTCAGGCTTGTAAATTTCCACAAAAGCTGCCTGTTTACATTAGCTTATACCCATCTGTTTCAATGTTTTTCCACTGAGACCCAAGACTTGGTGTTAGTATACATGTATGACAGGCCTATTGCTGATTTTAGGCCTATGGGTGATTTTAGGCCTTCAGTGTGTAAGTAGGGCTGCCCCTGACATCTCATCCCTTCTCTAAGTATAGAAGGGCTATGGCAATTCTAAACTTGCGAAGGCGGGGATAGAGGCCTAATTTTTAAGAGCATAAAGGGTACCAAGACTGAGAAATCTGAGAACTGTTATTCCACACAAATTTCCTTCCTTGTCATCTAATACTCCAAGGGGTATTTGTCAATGATTTGAGCTAGAGTCACTTAGAAAGAGGGATCAATAATTGAAGAGCTGCCTTAGATTGGCCCAAGAATAAATTGGTTAGGGCTTTTTTTTTTTTTTTTGATTAATGATTTGTGGAGGAGGTCTACCTGACTATGGATAGTGCCACCCCTGGACAGGTAGTCCTGGGATGTATGATAAAGCAGGCCAAGCAAGCCATGAGCAGCAGTGCAGCAAGCAGCACTCTTTTGTGGTCTCTGCTTCGGTTTCTGCCCCCAGGTTCCTGCCTTGAGCTTCTGACCTGGCTTCCCTTGATGATGGACCTATAAGCTGAAACATCCCTTTCCTCCCCAAGATGGTTTTGGTCAATGTTTTATCATAGCCAAAGAAAGCAAAACAGGCCAGAAATTGGTACCAGGCACAGGTTTTTGCTGTGATGAAGATGACCGTGTTGTATTGGGAAGGAATGTGGGAGGACTTGGGAGTTTTGGGTTAGGAAAGATCTGTGAGTGCTCAGAGTATAATGAACTGGCATTGGGCGCTTGAAAGACAGTAATGGACAGATGAGGGCAGCTTGGCTCAAAAGGCTTCAGTTAGAAGAAGATTCTCTTACTAGAAATAACATACCTTTTCTCTAACACTCCTTCCACACCTGTGGTTTCAGCAGGGGGTAGGTTGGATGGACTGCTGTGGAAGTTAACGCTCACCTTCACTAGCTCTGTGTAGCCAGTTTCCCTGGGTGTCCACCACGGCTGAGCCTTCAGACCATTCACATTGTAGAGGGAACGCTGCCAGACAGAAGCAAAATGTCCTCTCTTGTGCCCAAGTTCATACCACTTATATGCCTGAAAGAATAGAAAGGCTGCTTCATATTGTTCTTTTCCAGAAAATATTTTTATTTCAAAACTGAAGAATATCACATAAGCTAGTACAGATGTTCTTTGAGATGTGGTCTGGCCACCATGCAGACTCATTGTAAATACTCTACAGTGAAATCCTACTTCCTCCTAACGCACAGAGTATCTTTCTTCAGCACCAGAGCTCTTGCAGAGGGCCCTCTGGTTCCTTCCATGATGTATGACTGACAGGGCCACAGATCACCATCATTGACAGTATCTGACCATCACAGATCAGCAGCACAGACGGTATGGTGCCGTATATTGGTCTGCTGAGAAGAGCTCAGAAGTCAAAATTTGATGTGTGGTTTCTATTGAATGCAGACTGAATTTACACTCAACAGAGCTGAAAAGTCTCAAACAACTATGACCTTTGTTAATTCAGGGACTAACTGTACCTTCAGATAATTAAGTCAAGACCTTACCTGATGATAGCTGGTGAAAATTCTGTGGTTTAAACAGAGCTTCTCTAAGCTGCTAGGATAAGTGAACATGAGCGTTTATCTTCACTCTCATGCCGTCAGCTCTGTGGATTCTGGATTCATGCCTTGCCTAGTTTGGTTTCCACACATCTAAGCCAATTTAAAACGTAATTTGTTGTGTATACACACAGCTTAAGACACTGAAGGAGGCCATCTTTGTATTTAGCTTTCATTTTCTGAGTTCCATTTTTATATTTTCTCTAAAAGGAGTGGATTATGATTTAAACAATTTCAAATACATTCACTATTTACTCAAACAGGCTGCTAAAACCAACCAAGAGTAAATTTATTTTCCTAGTAACTTTCTTTGATGTCCTGTGGTGACATAATAGATAAAAAGGAAACATTATTCTGAACTGGCAATAAATAGTATAGCAGTTATAACTATGATAGACATTGTATGGTATGTCAGGCTTTTTAATAGGAAACTTTTGATCATGGAGTATGTACATTTTCTGCAATAAGGGACAACATTTATGGCTTCATTGGCTCTCATAATACAACCGGCAATTAAGACTAGCTTTTTTGGGGGGAGGGTATTATCATTCTGCAGAGTACTTGTTCCATATGGCTGGTCCGAATGAGAATCCACCACATGCCCCTAAGAGGCCCTCCTCTCTTGCCGCCTGCCCTACGCCCCCTTTGTCTTTGGATTGAAGAGTTTTTTTAGTAGCACACTGAGTACCATCTCTTCCACTGCTGTGTCAAATCTTACGATTGTTTGAGAAGAGATTTTGAAAAAAATGTGCAGCCTTCCCCAGGTCATATATAGTGTCTCCTTCTATAGGCCAGGATAACCTCCAATGTGTAATCTTCCTGCCTTGGCTTCCTGTGTGGTGATATTATAGGCATGTGCTATCACACCTGATTAAATATATATGTTTTGATCCATAAAAAAATTTAATGTTAAGTTAAATACCTTCATTGTAAAACTCCAGATATAATAATTTAAACAAAGAAAATATTGGGTTCCTTCTAATTTATTTTTTTAAAACTTGGCAGTAATTAAAAATCATATTTTAATGTACAAAATTATTAACTTTTGAAAAGTATTTAACAATCATATTGCAAAATGTCCTTACTCAGCACAGTAAGGGGTGTGCTGATGGCCTTCTTATTTTCCACAACACTCCACGATTGGCCTTTGACATAAATGACCTCATCAGAGCCTTCTAACAGCCCAGAATCTCTCCCTCCTATAACTGCTGAAACTGAGAGTTATAATGCCTCCATTCTTGGAACTAGAATTCAAGGCCCCTCAAAACCAGCTAAATGCTCTTTCTCTCTTTGTAACACCTTTTGAAACCATAAAAACTTCTTAATTATCTTTCTCATTAAAATCTCAAAGATCACATATGCTAATACTTCTTATATATTTTCCTTGAAAAACATGTAAGTTGGGCCTAGAGTTTCTTTAAAGTCCAGAAAGTTAAAATGGCTAATTGATGTCAGATGGGGGAAAAAAAAGAGAAGAAAAGAAAGAAAACTCATCTTTGAAATAATTTGATCATTATGGTTTCAGCCAATTTGAATTTAGGACTTTATTTCCTGAACCTTCTGCTGTTCAACTGAACACCATTAATTACAACATATGATTCTTTTTTTTTAAAGTCTGGTAGTTCATTAATTTTTGAATCATTAGTAAAGCATTGGAAAGCCATATTGACAGAATAGTGTATAAAAAAGTAATTATAGGGCAACCCAATCAGCAGGCAATGTGGCTCATGCTGCAGCATTCAGGGTCTTAGATCTGGGGTTGCCCTGTGCTGAGTGCCTGGGCAAGGTATGTCCTTACCATACCTCCTCACACTATCTGTACAGTCTGCTCACAGTACTGTGAGTACTGATGGTCAAAGTAGTAAGCACCATGCATTGAACAACAGCCTTGAATTGGCACCCCCCTATCACTTTTATCAGAAATAAAATCCTCACAATGATAGATCATAAATTTAAAAATTGCATCTACTGGTATATTATAGAATGGATTTAACAAATTCAGCTAGATTAAAAAAAGACAAATATATAAAATGACAACAAAAATTTCTAGAAAATTAAGTCAAATAAGAAACTTGTGTAAATGACCTCTACTTCTTCATTTTGTTTAGTTTTTCTTTTGAGACAGAGCCATGCAGCCCAGGTGGCTCTCAGACTTGTTATGTAGCTGAAGATGACCTTGAATTTCTGATCCTTCTGCCTTTCCTTCCTGAGTGCTGGTACTATGGGATGTTCTACCGCACCCACTTCATGTGGTGCTGGGGACAGGGACACGAGGCAAGCACTGAGCTACACCCCAGCCTTGGGCTACCTTCGTATTTTATATCAATATCATTTCTATTTTGTCAAGTCATTGCTGTGTATTCTTTACACAGACACACACAGACACCGACATACAGACACTGATACACCAGACATGGAGACACACACACACACACACACACTGAAAGCTTCTAAATCTGAAATCTGTGCAGTAGATCTGTTCTGAGTGGCCCAGCTTGAGCTGGCCTGTCTGGAATGTAGGTACATTTTGGATGGTATGTTTTGAGTATAACTCTGGGTTGCAACTTAACCTGTGTTGACCTATAAATGGCATTGCAGGGACATAGGGCTTTGTTTTATTTTGAATCACAAACGTTTTGAGAATGATGTGGTTGATCAGAAAATGTAACTGACCTAAGAAGCAACAGCTCAGTTCTCATGACAATCACTGACGGATGCGGTGGCCAATGACAAATGGGAATTAACATCCCCAGAAGAAGGGGGGCTGCTAATGAGCCTAGGAAGTCTGTTCCTTGGAACTTGCCCTTAGGAAGGGAGGAGAAGAGGAAGGAGCTAAGGCTGATCCCAATTTTGATTCAGAAGTTGGCAATAAAGGAACCAGAGACAATCTAAAAGAAAAATGGCCAGAGGAGGAGGGAGCTTGCCGTGTGAGGTCCATGAGGTGCCCTCAGACAGGCTGGAGATGTGTGAATCTGCATGTGGAGAATGAGACCAGAGCTGAGGACAGAATGTGGATTCAAGATGTGGAGCCCCTGAAGCCTGACTACTCCAGGGCTGCCATGGGTTGTGTGCCTCTTACTCTCTTCCATACTTCCAGAAATATTCACTAAAATCCATTTTCTTGTCAGCCTTTGTGGCGGAGGGTGTGGGTTTGACTTCCACTAGTTTATCCTCTCTCAGACCAGCAGTGAGCTCCACAGATGCAAGCACAGAGGGTAGCTGCTTCCCAGTGGTAAGCTCTGACACAGACTCAACACCTAATATTGGGTTATGCTAACATGGGGCTTCTAGGAGCTTGTTTCTGTTCCGTGTAAGCATGAATCCTTATGAACCTTCCAAAATCAGGAACTGTGCCGTTCTTTGCATATTAATGATAATTATGCTGGTAGAACAGTCCCTCAGGCTTAAATACCAGGCTCATAACAAGTGTTCAGTAGTGAATTCATTGTCCTTGAAGTAAGAGCTGTTTTCATCTAAGATATGAGATAAAGTAGATTTCTTTTATCTGTCTTTGCCCTGTACTACGGAATGTTCAAAGACAAATTAATTAGTGACAATTATATTTACAGAAACTGAATACAGACTTTTACCTAGTGTTGGATACTGTGACAGACATTTTCTTATCCTTCTCATTCAAAGGAGGTTTCTTTTTACAGCGGGAAGGAACAAAATAATGACTACCCGTCAGCAACGCTTCCCCGTCCTCTTCACTTCTAGTGTCTTGTTCTATTTTAGTCAAATGATTGGTAGGTTAAAGGGGGAAAGTACACATGAATAGAAAGGTAGAAAGAAAAAAATGTCAATCATCCAAAGCTCTACTGTTCAGAATCCATTCGTGTTCCTTGCAGGAGACTGTGCAGTCACAACTTTGCTTCTCCGAGCTTTCAGCTGCTCAGAGGGTCTTATATTCCTATCAAATTTAGAAATTTGAAGTTGTATTGTTTTTAGATGTCACATATATGGCAATGGTTACAAAAGGTCACTGTCACATTGGTACTTTTATCTTCAGACTCTGAAGACAGCTAAGGTACAATTCCTGTAGTGGTATAGGACAGAAGAGGTAGGCCTCATTGTTTATTGGCATGTAAATCATGGGGATTGTGAAAAGGCTAGAAATTCGTGGTACATGATCTCACAACTGGTGTCATGTTTATACAAGCTGACAACTCTACTCAGGAGAAAGGTAACGATCAGGAAGATTATTTACTTGTTCTAGTTACTGCATCAGTACATCTGTGCATGCATGCTTGCGTTGGTACCTGACATTGCCCTAGTTATAAATGTTCAGCTTAAATTTAAAATGAAAAGCCCATGGTTAAACATTAAGACCACTATGCTTAAGGATTGTCAAATAGATGATTCTAAAAATGACTACTGCAGAAATTACAAAGTAAAATATTAAATAAATCTGTAAATGTTTTTAAAAATTAAAACAATTTTAGAGAACTTTGTATTAATTTCACTTATACTTTTCAAAGGCAAATACCTTTCGCTACACACATAGATACACTCAGAAACAAACACACACACACACACACCAAAGGAGTATTTTTCAGATTACATATTGATACTTCGGAAAAAAACAAACTGCAAAATCCAAATCCCATAGATCTTATAAGAACATTGCCTTCATAAGTTATACTAAGAATATTTGCAAAGTTCTTACTGGTTCCTAGGAGCAAAATTCCTTCCCTAGTTTATCATCTACTGGAATAAAGTCACAAACCCAGTCAGTCATACCTCTTTGTCCCCGACCCTCTGCATGGCATCCCCCAAGTGGAAATAAAACCGGCCATCATCCGTGCCAGGGTCCCCAGATTCGATTCCTTCCTGGAAAAGGACAGTGTTACCATCTGTGAAGGGTGACATTTGGGGGGTTCTTATTCCTTGGTTTCTGTAGACTTTCCTTATGTATCTCATAGGAAAACATAAGACTTTGAAAATTTTGTCTCATTATTAAAATTAGATGATGAGGTTTGTCTGCATTTTATAGTGTAAAAATAAAATGAGATAGTCAATTTAAATTTAACAATAAGGTTATCATTAACCATTAGTGGACTAGCCCATGAATTAGCATGCACGCTGTGTGTTTCCACAGTGGGAGCTAGCATATTTCAATACTGCAGATGGTTTCCCTGGCTGGGTATTTTCACATTTATTTTGCTCTCCAATTCTGACCATATGCCACCTACAGTCTTTTTATCCGTGAACCCAAACACTTTTTTGCTCGTGTTTCAAGCGATGACAGTCTGAGTGTAAGTGACATTTCTTTCTACCTTAAACAAATGTGCCATAGGCAGCTAATGAAACTTCTTACTAAAATTTGCAGGATTCAAGCCAACACCAACTGGAATTTTGACACAGGTAATTTTTACTGAATAATTTCTATTGTGAAAGGCTTTGTTCTTCCCCCTTTCCATGAAAACAGCGGCAATGAGATTTTTGTTTTAGAAATGGAAGAGAAAATACTAAGACTGAATATGGAATAGAAAAAAATAGACAAAACCATGAAATAGTTTAACAGCAAGGACTTCTTTTCAGAAAGTTATATCCTTGAGGCCTTCCCAGGAAGGGCCCATTACTTAAAGCTGGCAAGGTGGCTTAGTGGGTGAGGACACTTGCTGCCAAGCCTGATGACCTGATTTTTATCTCCAGGTCCCAAATATTGATAGGAGGGAGCCAGTTTCTGCAAGTTGTCCTCTGACCTCCAAGTACATGATGTGGATGCACATAAACATGATACACACACACACACACACACACACACACACACACATTTCTTCTGAGAGAATATAATGACCATACATGTATTTTCTTCTCATATATATACATATATATAAAATGTATACTGAACAACAAGTACACACATATGAAAGAAGAAAAATCATATATATGGTCATTCATTAGTGCTCGGAGAGCATAATACGAACAAGCTCCCCTCACGTGTTCCTGCCACATCGAGCTCTGCTGTGCCATCCCGACAGTGAAACACAACACCTCCCAGAGACTAAGAGCCCAAACTACCCTTTCCTTATATGGTTTCTATTGAGAATTTTGACAGCAATAGTGCCAAAGGAGCTCATGCAATTGGTATTTCTCCATGATGTTCAGTCAGGTAGAGGTATATACAACCTGTGATGCATGCACTTCAAGGCTAGAAAGACTCAGCGATGCATGCCAATCAGTTAGAAGCCATAACCGGAAGCCACAACCAAAGGGGATCTCAAAGGACTCCAAGAAGAGAGAATACGGGAAGGAGACCATGGCAGCTACCTTTAAGTAGGGAATACTCTCAGCTATCTTGTTCTGCGCCTTCAGGATGAAGCCATAATGCACTTTAGCGAAACCGTCGTTCGGTGTCACATTCAGCACCTGAATTCAAAGAAAACAAAGAGCGACTGTGATAGAGAAGAGACGTACAAGTGACTGTCAAAACAAATCCTAATTAGTTTTGCCATACCAGGAATGGATTAGGATGTTACAGCTTCAAACCCTGTGGAAGCATCTTGTCTCACTGCTATCATTAAACATAACAAACCCATGGCCTCTCAACTCAAGATGCCTTTCATACTTGCTCACTGAATAAAGCTGTGAATGAGAACGTAGTTACTGCTGGAGCATGACTGTAACCAGACAAATACCTGGCCATTGATAAGACTTCAAGTTGTTTAGTGAGTAGAGAAAATCACTCTGAATTTTTTGTGCTTCAAGACGATTCTGAAGGGTTGTTCCACGCTGCATTATGTATATGTCTCAACATATTAGGATCTACTTATGCACTAAAACATCCATCCATGGTCACTAAAGTTAGTGGCACAATGGGACATGAAAACACTCTTGAATAAACTGGTACAGATGCACGGTGATCATAAAGACAACTAAAATGGCATTACAGGGGCATTGCCTTCACCATGGAAATGACATCTGCCATAGTACTGATGCTATATCACTGCAGAGGACACAGCATTGCTCCTGAGGCTGACCTACACCAAAGTATAGCCATATTGAATGATAAGGAAGTACCTGGCAGCTGTAACCAAACAATTGCCTGCATTTTTCATAGGTGTGGGAGTGAAAACTACCCAAGGAACTGTTACAGGCTTGGCACACCAGTAGATGTTAGTAAACTGAGCCTCATGGATGTTGAAGAGCAACCCTCAGGAGTCTTGACCGATTGGAACCTGAGTATTGGCCTAGTGAGCTACCAGATGCTAATTCTTTAACTCTGTGCTGAGGCTGCATGCAGAATGCCTAGAGACCTGAGAGTATAACTTGTGTCCTACTTGAGTAACATTTTGGAAGTCTGAGATTATTTCAAAATAACGAGCTTTAAAAATTACGAATGAAAATAAGTTCTTGGGAGTGCACTGATTTTAAGTGCTGAATATAAAGTTGGTGAAAATAATCCAACTGTCTGTGATAAAAACCCAGGTGGCTATTTCATATAAGCTGATCCATTGTTTATCATTACATGTATTTATTATGATTTAAAGATGAATTATGCAAAATACCCCTAAATTAAATATGAACAGTGAGAAAACAACACAAAAGCATTAGACTTGTGAAGCTGCCTAGGAAATAGATTTTTTGAACAAAGAAGAAGATGGAGAAGATGTGAGTGCTACTTTCAGGGAGAAGATGCCTGAGTACCTCTCCTCTCTATCCCTGAGCCAATTAGGGAAAGTGAAGTCACAGCTACCATGGGAGCTTTACAGAGAAAGAGCAAGGTATCTAACAAGAAGCTACCATGCCCGCATTGGACTCAGTGCCAATTTGAGACCCATTTAAAAGGGTAGCACTCAACACTCTACCCGTTACTGCACTGGACTGAATCTCCTCTCTTTCACACCCTCCTGCAGGACCCCTCAGTGGCTGATAATTTGCACTCCTGCTGTTCATTCTCCATACAGGACCTCCAGACAAACTGTTTAAATCCAGGATCAGACCTGATCCTTCCTCATTTTACTCAGTACGAAAGACTACATTCAAGGAGCCACCTCTGCAGCCTCCACCTGTTTGGCTCTGTTCTTGCCCCTTTCCAGCCATCCCTCTGAGGCACACTGGACTCATTGTTATTCATAGTGAGCCAAAGGCACCATTACTACAAACTATCGTCCTCACAATACTCCTTTGGCTCACTCTCTCCTAGGGCATCTAAGTGGGTCATCCCTTTACTTGTGTGAGAAGGATTATGTGGAAGACTTTCCACACTATTCCAGTGCATTCCACCCCTGCTCATCTCCCAAATAGAAAATCAATGCCACTCTTGGCCCTGGGTACCTCCAAGTTATCTATCCAGACTGTGTTTTTCCAGGACATATCACCATCTGACCTGGATAATTTATTCCTTTTCTAACATGTAAGCTCTACAGGGACTTTGCTTCACTCATGGCTCATCCCTTGGTGATGGGGAACTGTCAGCATATCTGTGATAAAGCTGTGGATGGGTACATGATAGGCTCTCCTCCCTAGTAGAATCTCTGAAAGTTTGAGCTTTGTTTCCTCAGCTGACAGACCCTAAACCAGACTGTGGACTGAGAATGGACCTCCAGGACTGAACAGAATCAGTGTTGATCATGGTTCTTCCTGAATTGCTAAAAACAAGTCATTATAATTAGTGCACCACACTGATGATACCCCTGCCTACTGCAGTCACAGATATCATCTCAAGTAGCTATCAAATGTAAGCATTTTCTAGGATTTAAAAGCCCATAAAATTCCTCTAGGTCCCAGATATGCCAACAGGAATGAGATATCCTTCTCTCTCAAAAGGCTCTAAATCCAGTACAGGAGACACACTTACAGCAGACAAGAGCTTACAGAAACAAACAGAGGCATGCAGTGGCCCCAGGGGAGGAATACCCAACACACTCATGGTGAGTGTGATCAGAGGAAAGGTCCTACATATATCTGGGAGTCACCAGAGAAAGCAGGGACCAAAGGCTGAAAGACATTCAAGGTAAAAGAGAATGACAAGATATAAAAAAAAGGTTTGTGGGGCTAGAGATGGAAAGATACCTCAGTGGTTAAGAACACTTGCTGGTTAATCATGAGGGCCAGAGTTTGGTTCCTAGTATCCATGTAACAGGCTGGATATGGTGTTCTGAATGAGAAACGCCCACAAAGGCTCTCATGTCGTGTTTGCATACTTCATCCCCAGTTGTGCTTATCAGCCCTTCAGCAGGATAGAGGAAGTATATCTCTGAGGACAGGCATTGAGGGTTTACAGCCTTGCCTCACTTCCTAGTCTCTCTCTGCTTCCTGTGTGTGTAGATGAGAGAATGTCAAGCCAGCTTCTTGCCACAATGCTTTCTCTGACCATGGTATGCTATCCTATCATAATGGACTCTTTCCATTTGGAACTGCAAGTCAAAATACATGAACTTATGGGGCTTTCTCATTCACTCCACTATACCCAATTTGTTAACTAAGTTGCTTTTATCAGGGTATTTTATCACAGCAAGAGAAAAACAACTAATACACTGGAAATCTGTAAAATGTCTATAGTTAATACTAGCCCTGAGGGATCCAAACGCCCTCTTGTAGGGAGAAGAACTTGCAACCACTTTTCTGAAATGCACTTGCTAAGAAGAGCCTCATAGTGCCATGCTCATTTGGCTCATTTGCAGGTGGACAGTCAGGAATCCTGTCTAGTACAGGAGGATGGGCAGGGCTCAGGCTGACAGTGCTGTACTCACCTGTTTCTTTAATTTTAGGCACCATACTTTTGAAATTTGTAGATATATGTGCAGTGTATCTACAGGTTTAATAAATCGACACATGAAGATACAGGCGGGTTTACAAGAAACCCAGATTGAGTGTAAAATGATATTAAAGAGTCTATGTATTTACCTATTATCTATCTATCTATCTATCTATCTATCTATCTATCTATCTATCTTATTATCTATCTAGTTATTATGTATACATTTTTACCTGCAGTAAAAACACATTCAAGGTACATTTCAAGAATTTTAAAACACCACCTATTTCCTTTATCCAAAACTTCATTTCCCACAGTTAGTTATGACCCAAAATATTGAATGGAAAATTCCAGAAATAAAGAATCCATATTTTATAGTCACCATGTCCCAACCCACATGTCTTTTGGAACTATCTTACCCCACCAGAGGTTAGACCAGCATCTTAAACCCCATGTAAGTCTGTACCTGCACCCTGCTAGTACATACCTAGCATTGCTCCAACTACCCCCACCATCACTACATTTCTGGTCACACCTCTGACATAGGCCTCCTACCGTACCAGAAGCCAGGCCCACATCCTGAACCCCAGAAGACCTCCAGCCAGGTCAGAGGTCACACACATCACTAGAACTCCAGCCCCCAACTTGGGAGGAAAACCCCTGCTGGAAAAAAGCCACTGATGTCATTAGAAATCCAGCTCTTAATGTGAGAAGAAGCCTTCTACTCAACCACAGGCTGTTCCAGTGAGAAGATCAGAGAGGAAACAAAAACCAAGTAAGAAAACAACTATCTAACGAAGACAAATTTAGAAATTGGCACCTAGACCTATAATGACCACAAATACAGATGTCTTAACATCAGTGTAACAACACAACCAACAACAGACAGGGTGATACGTCACCACCAGAGCCCAGCCATCCCATTATACCAAGCCTTGAATATTTCAACAGAGCTAAAACACAAGAAAGGTTAAAGCTAACTTTATGAAGATGATAGAGCTCCTTAATTTATTTCCTTAAAGAGGAAATGAATAAATCTTTAAAGGAAATTGAGGAAAAGACAATCAAAAAATTGGAAGCAACTAAGAAAACACAAACTAAGGGAATTCTGGAAATGGAAAATCTACGTAAGAGAACAAGAATTATAGACACAGATATCACTAACAGAATATGAGATATGGAAGAGAGAATCTCAGCTGTTGAAGATACAATAGAAGAAATAGATCAGGCAAAGAAAATGTTAAATCTAAAAAGTTTCTAACACAAAACATACAGAAATCTGGGACATTATGAAAAGACAAAATTTAAGAATAATAGAAATAGAGGAAGAAGATTCCCAGTTAAAAGGCCCAGAAAATATTTTTAACAAAATCACACAAGAAAAATTTCCAAACCTAAAGAAGGACATATCTATAAAGGTACAAGAAGCTTACAGAACAGCAAATAGATTAGACCAGAAAAGAAAGTCCCCTGGCCACATAAGAATCAAAACACTAAACATAGAGAACAAAGAAAGAATATTAAAAGCTGCAAGAGAAAAAGGTCAAGTGACATATAAAGGCAGACCAGTTAGAATTATATCCAAATTTGCAATGGTGACACTAAAAGCCAGAAGGTTCTAGGGAGATGTCTTACAGTCTCTAAGAGACCACTGATGTCAGCCCAGAGT